CATCAAACAGAATCAAATTTATAAATCTTACAAATTTCTTTCAATTTTCTACTTTGTTTCCCTAAAAATGTTTAATATTTAGAGAGATCTTCAAAATAATGCTCATATAAACTTCAATAAATTGTGTTATAATTCAAAGATATGCTGAGATCTAGGGTAGATTATTCTTGCAATTGAATTGGCTAATTTTTTCTCCTGATGCTCTGTTTTAATTGCTGAAATAGCAAAAGCATCATATGTCCCCTTTTTTGTCTAAATCATATCTCTTCTGATTGCATTTTGTTTATAACCCTATTAATTTATTTATTGCATTTTGCTTATAAAGGAAATGTAATATCCAACTATTATTTTTAATTTTAGTTTCCTATTTGTGAAACTAATATTCTTTTTAGTTAGTTTTGATCTAAAAAAAAAACATGTTAATTTCTTTCAATGCATACTGGAAAAAATATTAATTCCAAATCATTTCTTAGTATTAAGAGTTCAAATGTTATTCAGATTTTTTAAAACGTTATCTTTTATGGTAAGAGTATTTCTAATATTAAATTTTAAATATTATTAAATATTTGTTAGTCATCATTTTACTGTACATTGAGTGCATCATTTTTTTTTTTTTTTTTTTTTTTTAAATAGTTAAAGTAGGATGATAGGAAAAACACTATTTTATTTTCATAGCTGCCTGTAGCCACTCAGAAAAATTGCTACACTGAATTCATTATTTTAATATGATGCTTCAATGCTTTTCAAGTTCTATTCTTTGTTCATGAAATCTATTCAAATAGAAGTTTTTTCTCCACAACTGAACATATTTAAAGAAATAGTTTTACAGTGTTTGGAGGTATGATTATAAAAGCATTGTTGAATATTTTTAGTACTAGTAGATGAATTTAAGCCATCTTTGAAACTTCAGTAGGTATCTTTATATTCATCAGCTCGGTCTGCAGTCTTAAGCTTAGCTCGGTCTGCATTCGTCGTAAGTCTTAAGGTCTTATTCGTCGGTCTGCATTCGTCGTAAGTCTTAGCTCGGTCTGCATTCGTCGTAAGTCTTAGCTCGGTCTGCATTCGTCGTAAGTCTTAGCTCGGTCTGCATTCGTCGTAAGTCTTAGCTCGGTCTGCATTCGTCGTAAGTCTTAGCTCGGTCTGCATTCGTCGTAAGTCTTAGCTCGGTCTGCATTCGTCGTAAGTCTTAGCTCGGTCTGCATTCGTCGTAAGTCTTAGCTCGGTCTGCATTCGTCGTAAGTCTTAGCTCGGTCTGCATTCGTCGTAAGTCTTAGCTCAATCATATTCTTCTATGGATTATTCAAATTAGTGTCCTCTTTGAATTTATCATGAAGTTTTGATGTTTATATCTGCTAATTATTGAGTGTTGTCTAATATTTTTAATATTGCTAACACCTCAAAAATAGTTGTTCAAAGATTACCAGATGCTATAATCACCTGAAAAAAGCTAAAAATATATTTGAGATAATGTCATTAAAAAACAACAAGGGTAGAATATAAGTTTGAATAATTCATAGAATGACACTGCTTCATTTCAGAATATCTAACAACATTCATCTTTACTTGTTGGTGGCTTGTCCATTTTTTTATAGAAATAAAATTAGTATCTTTTCTCCTTGAAATTCCTATCACAATTGTTACATTAGTGTAATTTTGATTGACTCTTAGATCATTTCACTCATGAATTTGATCATCATTGTTTGCACCACTATTGTAGCCTTTTACCAGACTGAACTTAGTAAAGAACCATTATAGTAAAGATTTCTTATCCATAGATAGTGATTATTCTTATTCAATTAATTTTGAAGATAGAACTTTAAATTTCCTTTCTCTAAACAATATTGAACATGTTTTCCAATGTTTGTTTTTAAGTAGAAGGGTAAATATTATGCAAGTTAACATTTTCATCTGAGAGTTCATATACCCTACTCAAGAAAAAAAATAATTTCAGTCATTGATGAAGATACTTTGTTTAGGTTGATGCAAAAGTTTTCAGTGCTATCTTTTGCATATTGTTAGGAAAATCTCATAAGTATCTTTTGAAATTGATTTTTTTTTTTTTTTTTTTATTGCTTTTGCAATTCGCTCAACTATAATATATTGTTTAGAAGCTTTAGGAAAAATTCAAAATGGTGTCAAATGTGTTCCATAGGAACTTAAAGAAACAGGACTGGTAATTTTTTTTACCAACAAAGTTATTTTTGGAAAAAGATGAAAATGGATTTATAAGAATCTGGGACAATTTTCATCATCTCAGCCTAAATGAAGTCTGTGGGACAAAATGTTCTATTTTATGCTTGGTGGGATTCAAAGAGAATTATTTATTCTGAACTGCTGTGGAGAGTTGCAATAATATAGACAAACTTACTATGTAATACTACAGTGAGCAATTGGCTTGTTTAAATAATGCTTTGAATTTTGTTTTTTGTTTTTTTTTTGTTTTTTTTACTGTAGCAAATGTGACACAACAAACAATTGTATATTCTGAAAACCTGTCCTCTTCAGACTATCACTTGTTTTACCCCATGTAACACTTGTTTGGTCAGTGTTTTCAAGAAAGTTGAAGATATCTTTAAAGTTATTGAATTAAAACTTTCATTCTTTTATGATGGTGTATACATACAATTTACTTGAAAGTTTGCATAAGGTCAGAAAACAAGGGAAAATAATTTGAAGACTTAATATGCGATTTATTATGAATTCATATCAATAAAAGATTTCAAATAAAAGAACTGATGAATTTATGAGTAACAGATTTTGTCAAAAAGTATAAAAGGCAGGAACAGAATATTGAAAAAAAAATGATTACTATTTTTTCTCTATCTTTTGGATTTTTTTAAAAAGTATTTTTGAGCATATTAATGTATATGAATAGAATGATTGCTAGTTATCTTCAAGGCTATCCTTTTGACATCATTTTCTTAATATAGTAGTAAGTAATAACCATTTTCCTTCTTAAGAGGCAGACTGTACAATAATATTCTGAGACTGACTGAAAATCAGTCTTTATACATTTCAGTTATAATTGAATATAAAAAGAACTTTTATTTATGAGATTTTTTGTGCATTAAAATTATGTATCATATGATGTTGTAGAAAAACTTTCAATCTCCTATTTTATTTATTTTTTTGTCAGTTGATGTTTTGCCTTGATTATGTTAGAATATTTATTTTAGAAATAAAACACTCGCTCTGAGTCTGATCCTTAATCATTCTCCCAGCCCTCAGGTAGATGGTTCTAATAAATTTGCTAATCAACTGTCAACTTCTACCTCATGCTTGTGGCTGTAATAGTTGTAAATTTTTTATTTTTTTTATTTATTTCTTTAAATCAAATGTAGGTAGGGAATGCACATGCACCCTTGAGCAGCCTTCATACACCAAATATGAGGGGTCTGTCCCAACTTCCCAAAAGTGGAACTCCATCTTCTTCAGTCTAAACCTACCCTCCTGTTTCTGTCTGAAACGGGTATCAATGCCTGAATCCCACTACAGAAACAGTTCAATCCCAGGCTACTCTCTCCTTATAACAAAACAAGACCACCTAAATTAGCACAATCATGGATTCAGAGCCTACATCAAGGATGGGTTTCCCTGTGGCAGGGATGAAAAAAAGAGGGTCCCAATCTCCCATATATGTGCTTCTATTTGGCACTTATCCATAAGTACCACATTCGTCTTTGCTCTCTATCACCCTCAAGATGAAAAAACAATAATCTTCGATCAAATCTTTGAGAGGATTGGTAACATCCTCACTGAATTTTCCTCGGCAAGCATTCATATCTGTGGTGACTTCAACATTCATCACAAAGAGTGGTTAGTTCCCTCAAACAAAACCAATGAAGAAGGCAGAGACTTCTCCATTGCCTATGAACTAACCCAGATCATCAAAGAATCCACCTGTGTTCTGGACACAACAGGATATCAGACAAACCTCCTCAACCTCTTTCTAACATCCTGCCCTGACAAATGCTTATCAACTTTTACCACACTTTGGCACATCAAACCATTTCCTAGTCAGTGTCCAGATTAATGCCAAACCTAAGGAATCTCCTAATTTACTGTTCTGGTGAATGATTTTTTGCTACATGACGGCAGACTGGGTCAGCTTTTGATCCTATATGACTGAAGCTCCTCTCTCAACCTTCAAGCACACTGCCCCCAAATCTGTTGCTCTCATCACAGAATGGATCCTTTCTGGAACGGAGTTTTTATTCCCCTAAAAAATTCCAGTAAAAATGAAACTGTCAACTCTGGTGGTTCACCCCTGAATGTGCTGCAGCCATAACTCACCAGAACCACCACTACAATATCCATTGCATGGAGTGGTGTAGTTTGACTCTTACTGCATTCAGAACTACCTGTAATTACTGCAAAAAAGTTCTGGAAAATGCAAAGTTCTGTTACACACAAGCTGTCTAGGCCATGGTTGAAAGCAAATAAATTGGATTCTGTGAATTGCCAACCAAATCATGAATACAGGTAAATGGGCTGTGCTCACTATTATATATGGCCCCAAAGTCATATCTTCCTTGACAGATAAGGCAAACTCTTTGCCTTGATCTTTGCCTCAAACTCAATGTTAGATGGCAAACTCTCTCCCCAATTTTCCAAATCTCACTGAGCACAATCTCAGTAGTATTTTCATTAGTCTAGACTTCTCAAAAGTCTTGACCCTAAGAAAGCCACTGGTTCAAACAAAATTCCAAAATTCCTGGTAACTACAAGCTAAAACTATTCAAGTCTAGGATTAACTATTATCTTCCCCTCCTATCCACATAAATTGCTTCTTACTGTTCATGAGTGGCCCATGGGTCATGTATGGGGTGAACCTGACTGTAAAAAAAAAAAAAAAATTTATCAGCATTTGTTGGACTTCAGGATTTATATTTATCAAGCAACAGCAGTCAACCACTTTCACTTTTATTTTGCTACAAATTAAAGATTTTCTTTTAAAGTTGGCAATGAGAATCTAAATTATTTAAATTTGGAAGATAAGTATGAGTATATGTTCTAATATTTCATTTCATTCTTTGTTCACATTTGTTACAGCTTCTCCTCCTTTCTCTCTCCTCCTCCTTTCTCTCTCCTCCTCCTCCCCCCTCTCTCTTCCTCCCTACTCTTCTCTTCTCCTCCCTACTCTTCTCTCTCCTCCCCTACTCTCTCTCCTCCTCCCTCCTTCTCTCCTCCTCCCTCCCCTCTCCTCCTCCCTACTCTCCTCTCTCCTCCTCCCTACTCTTCTCTCTCCTCCTCCCTCCTCTTCTCTCTCCTCTTCTCTCTCCTCCCCTCTCCTCCTCCTCTCCTCCTCCTCCCTCCTCCTCCCTCCTCTCCTCCTCCCTCCTCCCTCCTCTCCTCCTCTTCTCTCTCCTCCTCCTCCCTCTGTGTATGTGTCCAAGCAACACCTCTGCTTCCATCGGTCCAATTTCAGTGATTCATATCTCATTCAAAAACCTTAGAATAGTTAGGTGCAGGGAACAATTTTCGTTGAGCTCAGATTCAGGGTTGCCAGATTATGTGAAGTTAAAAATATATTAATGTTATACTAGCCATTATCTATGCTTTCATGGTTCAAGGAGAATAACTCTTATTTTCCTATTGTACCCAACATTGCAGCTAGCTAAAATTTTAAGCTAGCTCTTGTGGAGGACTCTTGGTTTGGCCATCATCATAGCTAGGGAAGAGTAGATGCAATAGGCATCAATAAACTACAGAAGAACTCAAAATTGATTGTTACATTAAAGTATTGAATTAAGCTTACCTTTTTAAAAGTTCAACAGTAATTCTTCTGCCATTCAAATTTAAAGACAATTTGATGTATGTAGATCCTTATTTTCCATACAAACAATTATTTTTATTTCATGGGTGACAGAACAGGGGACAATTTATAAGATAAAATTAATATAGTGTAAAGATGGGAAAATAGAAATTAGAATTAGTTATACATTCAAAATTTGAAGAGTTAGACATAATTGGAGCTCAATTCTCCCACGAATTTTGAGATTAAAAAGCACCAGCTTTACTTTATAGTAATTTGTATTTACTCAAGCCTCCACAAGGTCAGGTTGTGACACAAGTTCAGTTTAATGTGGGAAGCCAGAGCATATACACCTGCGCTAGGAATAAAAATTGCCCAAGTCCCCACAACTGTCGATTGTGCTGGCCTCAGTGTGAGCACTGATCCCTATCTCTGATGCAATGAGAGAGCACGGTCTTGGGCAACTGTTCTCCAGGGCTGGGCACCTCTCAGTATAATTTTCTTCAGTTGCGACTCTCTCCTTTGACAGAGCCGCCCCTGAGTGCACTCTGCCCAAAGACGGACACGTAACTGAGAGATGATAAATAGGGTGTTACAAACTACTTGAGAGAGAGAGAGCAATTTACACACTAGGTATTTACTGTCTCCCCACTAAGACAAGTTGTGACACAAGGTCAGTTTTTAAGGTGGGGATCCATACACCTGGGCTAGGAACAAAAATTACCTGCAGCCCCTGCAATCGTCGGTTGCACTGGCCTGTGCACAAGCATTGATCCATCTCTCTGGTGTAATGAGATGGTGCTGCCTATATATATATATATATATATATTTATTATGGGAGGCACGGTAGAGTAATGGATGGTGGCTTGGATTGAGGAATCGGAGAGCCAAGTTTGAATTCAAGTTGAATCCATTACATTCACTTACATGCTAATACCCTGGGGAAAGATATAAATCCCCCTCTCCCGACAGACTGGGTTCTATAGCCTTGGATGGCAACTGGTCTAGGAGAAGGACGACTCTGAATTCAAAACCTCGTGGAGGGTTGTTTGGGGACATAGTGCACCAGGTATCTGTATTCAGCTTATCAAAAAATGTGGATGGTTCTGCACAAAACCTTCACCACTATAATCAAATCTAATGTGCTAGTGTTGGGCTGTCAGTTCCTAGGAATGGATCTGCTTGACCCTCATACGTCAAATTTGATGTTAAATCAAGCGTGTGTGTGTATGTATGTATGTATGTATGTGTGTGCGTGTGTGTATATGTATGCATGCATGCATTAATTAATTAATTAATTTTTTTTCTAAGAATGGGGCTGGCAAAAATTGGCTTGGTGGACCCTGTAAAATGAGGGCACCGTGGCAATTTCTTTAGAATATGCAAAGTTTGTTTTTTGTTTGTAAAAAGTAATATTATAAAATCTTTAAAAGATTAATAAACAATAAACATAATCAACAAGCTTTAAAATCAGATATTTTTATTGACAAATAAGATTATGATGACTCAAATTATTTATTAGCAATTTTACTGTGGAATATTTTCAAAAAAGAAATCAAACATTACAACATTATTAGCTTAGAATATGATGTGGAAAGAACGAGATTGTTGTATTATAAAAATATAAATCTTTTTCAAAAAATCAAAATTTTTGAAACAAAAAAATATGTACACTAAAAATGTCACCCCCTCCAAAAAACAAAAACAATTTTTTACTTTCCAACATGAATATTAATTAGTAATTTCTTATAAATAAAAATATTTTCATTACTAATTTTTGTTGACCAGCATTCGGAAGAACTTCCACTCCTCAGGCAATTTGTCAGAATCGAAAAACATTAATTTTCTATTATTTTAGATGGTAGGGGTCCTGTTTACAATATAAATACGTCAAACTGACTTTTTGACATGAAGTTTTTTTCCTTTTGGAGAGGACCAGTGTATTTAAATATTGCTGTTTAAAATGAAATTTTTATTACTATATGTAATGTGTGTGAATACATATGTTCATTTCATTTCCGGTAGACCTAAATGTTGTAAGATTGAAAGAAACTTGTAACATTTGTTGAAATTCCTTTCATCTACCTCTTTTCTTTGAAAATATATCTATATAGGGCTCTAGTCAAATTTTTCCTTGGAAAATCCCCATGACCACCTTTTTAAGAAAAACTTAACATTTTAAGTTCTTAATTTAAAAAATTAGAAGGCAACCATGTTATAATAAGGTTAAATCTCATAATGGGCCCCCAAAAATTGCTCTTCAAATGTCCTTCCTTCCTTAGGTACCATGCATGATGCACGCTTGGATGATCATGTTTCTTTTTGCTGTATGATTGACTTGGCAGAAGAATTTCTGCAGTTGGCTGCTGTTACTTTCTGTGGTAGACTGGTAGCTATACCATACGGCCAAATCTGTTGAAGATGAATTTATACCTTATCCAAGAGTATTTGCATATAAGTGAATGTAACGATTTCAATTGGAAATCAAATTCTGCTCTCCAATTTTTAATTCTGAGCCATTACCTGTCCTACCACTCACACATTCCTTTTTTTGTATGTTATATACAGTGTAACCTGGATATAAGAGAGATTTTCTCTGGTCCCAAATTAGAGCCAGTGTTAATGTATATAAAATAGACCAAACCCGGATATAAGAGAAACCCGAATATAAGAGACTTCTTCTCCGGTCCCGACAACACTCTTATATCCGGGTTACACTGTATTATAATGTCAATGACTTAAACAGGGTCTGTAAATTAATTAGAAGGTAGATTTGTTTAATTAGATTATCAACTTGTAACCCATTGAGAAAGGTTTGTTATGTTAATTTTGATACCTTGATGAGATCGCTAAAATATGAGCATTGCATGATCTAAATGACGCCAAACTTGACAAAAACAAAATTTTATCGTCAAAATTTTTATTAAGAGGAAAGAACAAAGTATTTTTTTAAGATTTTTTTTCCTTCTTTTAGAACATTCTAACTCTTGATTTAAAAAAAAAAAAAATCCCAAAAAACGTTTCTCTTTGTATCAGCAGAACTATTAAATAACAAAATTTTAGCATTTTTTTTTTTTTTTTATGACAGATATTAATTTGGAAAATCTTGCAAAAATAAAAATAATTGTTGGATTTTAATGAAACTTTCAGAAACTATTCACAAATGATGGAAATTATTATAAATATGTTTTCCTTTTTTAAAGTCATAGCAAAAATATTTTTTTATATTTATTCCCCCCCCCTAATTTTATGAAAACTCTAGAAATTCATTACCATACAATTTAGTGATTATATTAGTTAAAAGCACAAGGCTTTGAGGGAAATAAATCGTTTTTTTTTTTTTTTTTTTTTCGGAACACCTCTACCTGAAAATCAGCTCGGAATTGTAACATACAAAATTCAATAAAACAAAGATATTGTTTAATTTCAAATGCTTTTTTAGTTGCTTTTTATAAATATAGATAATATTGTCTGAAAAAAAAAGACTTTTTCAATGAAAAATGAATTTTTAATACAATTATTTGTTATTTCTTAAATTATTTTTTTTATTAAAGTTGTTAAATAATCTAAAATTAGTGAAAGTGGCATACCCTTTAGTCAATAGTGTTATTAAAGCTTATTACAATCAATGGAACACCAGTAAAATTCAATTTCGCATGGCTTTTGTGTCCATAAAATGGCTGTAATTCAAATGTACAGAAGACCGTACATGAAAACAAAATGTCACGTTAAACATTGTTCCTCTTTGTTATGGCCTTTATTTTTGCAAATTGTTCGTATGAAACACATGTGGAGAAGTTAATTTGATTTTTCAATTTCAACTGAGAATGGTACCTACAAGTATTAGGTACCGAGCTCATGAAATTTATATGATCTTATTTTTACATTATCTGTTATGACATTTTTCCATAAATAAAATATAAAAATTAATAATAAAATGAATGGAAATACAAATAACACAGCAAAATGTAATAAATGTACATAAAATTATAGTATTTTATATACATTTCTGATAAAATTTCATAAGAAAGTTACCTATAAATTAGATACCTTTTCTTATGAAATTTTCACTCTCAACAGTCTTATTTTACTTTTTTTTTTTTAAAATATTTTCCATAAAGCATTGTAAATGTAAAGGTGAAAGCTAAGTACAAAAAAGAAAAACCCCCAAAAATTAGAGCGCTGAAAATTTTCCTTAAAATAATGAGGTAATGAGGTAAATAATTCGTTCATTTAAATCGAAATAATTATGTCACTTCTGTCATTCCGTACGACAACTTTTCCTCACGTAAACTGTCAATACATGGTGAAATCATCACTCATCACCTGTCAAGTGACACCAAGTGTTATGTTCTGCTTTGTCTTATTTTTAAACTACATTTTTTTTTCACTCAAAAAATAAGTAATGTTTGTTTAAAAATATTTTCAATGAACTTTATAATTTCTAATTTTTTTAAAATAAATTTTTAAAAAGTTTTGATTTTTAAAAATTTTAAACAGATTTTCTTTTTTTTTTTTTTTTTTTTTTATAAAATAGAAAAAATAGTTGATATGATTGAATTTCTGTCAATTTTGCTGACTTAAAAAAAATATTTTTAACAAAAATTTTGGACATGCTAGGAATGATTAAAAAATGTAAAAAAAATACCCCCAAAATACTTTGGTCTTTCCTCTTGATAATAACATAAACATTTAGACAGT